AAAAACTTGCACGGGTCTTCGCGTGAAAACTATGCTGGGAGGCTGAATTTGAAATTTCAAAGTTGAATGTGGGCTGGGAACATCGTCTTGAGATTTCAGATTCCTAGCTTTTTTGGTTCCCGAGTTAGCAATTCACCCGCCAAAACTTTCATGCACTCGTACTCGGGGCCAATACCTGCTTAAGGGTTGCCACCGCGGTCCTGGGACGGCGCTTGGCTGGACAACCCACTGGCAAGATTTCAGCGTGGAAGCTTACTAGGTTGGCAAGTTGAAACACCGGACGGGCGTATACACACATACGTGTACACACATACAAACACACACTGAGTTCGCTACAATATGCGTTTTTGCATTTGCATATATGCAAAAACCCATTATAACTGTACGAGCTCATTAGCCACAGGAGCTGCCCTGATTTCGTCTCGATTTACTAATTCCACGTTAATAAAGCGAATGCTGGCGATGAAAGGTTAAAATTCTCGAAAGGAGGAGGTGAATTGCTTGAATTGCCGATAACCAACATACAACTCGCATCACTGAATGTTTTTTACTAGATAGTCTTTGAGCACTACGCAGAATTCAATGGCAAATACTTGAACTGTCAGTATGTATTGAGCTGAAAATTCCATGGATTTAAACATAAATTTCTTGCGAATCATTCCTGAGCACGAAATATTTGACCAATGTAAAGGCGCCACACAAAATTTCGATATTTGCAAAATTGTTTCGGGCTAATTCCGTTTGCGTAGATCCCATCAACTCATCTCGGGTAAATACCAGACTTCTGAGGAAGTTACCTTGAAGTTTTACCAGTTTTATTAGGCATTATTTTATGGAACCTATATGAATAAATTGCCATTGCAAAATAATGAGACTTAGTCTAGATCGAAAGCAAATGCTGTGCTCCTGCACAAATTTTATGTTCGTTCTTTCTGTGATCGAGATGATTGAATTCAAATTTATGACCTTATCCAGCGGTAGCGCCAAGGCATTCCCCATCAGTCGTCAGTATTTCAGTATTCAAAATGGCTGGCAGCAAAGGCAGATATGGAACCGGAAGATTTCACAGAAGCCAAATTTTTCCACTTGAGGCTGCTTCCGGAGGAGTACTGCTATGCAGAATAGTAAGCTACATTACCACAACTATCAGTTTCGCACTTAAAATAACTATCAGTCAAATCCTCATCACTAAAAACACAACGATTTCCACGGACTTGCTAATATGAAATTTGCGATATTACTAAGAAGCGTCGCGAGGCAATTGCACGATTCGCATGCTCAGCCATTTGCCTGTGTTTGTTACCTTCATTTTACATCCACGCAGATCCGGCTGAGTTGAATGAGAACATTATGACAAAAGTCAGCTTACCTTATGTACGTGCAAAAAAAGGAATTCTAGCTATAATTCTGAAAACAAGCCATATCGAGTGTATTTTCACTACGTCTGCGGATGCTGGTTCGTCTACAAAGTATATCAGCGGATTGACGATGTAGGTTTTCTCTAAACAATTGGCGTGTTTTTTTTTTATTTGTAACTCATTTTTTCCTACAATTTAGGCGTTTTTAGAGTGTATCGAAATTGCATTACAACGAAATTCTATACATTTATTTGATGAATTAGCTCCAGAACTACAAAAATAAGGAATCTGAGACCTGAAACTCTGATTTCTAGTCATATGGAGAATTAGAAACGTAAAATCGTCTTTAAATTCCTTCTCCATCTTCTCGCAAGGAGCATCAAAGTTTTATTTTCACCATGTAGCATTATGTTGGCCCAATCGCAGTATATAGTTCCATATTCCGAGCTCTGCCTGTCGCCAAACGACGTGTTGTCAACCGACAGACTGGTAAGGAAAGCGTCACAAAAAATCAAAAGAGGTCATTTACGTTCGTCGCATTCACCGAATCTAATTACTCCAGCAGCTCACTGCAAAAAATCATGCCGTCTTCCTGGTGC